GCCTAAGCAACATGATTTTTTTTTCCTGTGCTTTCTTCTGAAACTTTATAGTTTTAGATTTTACATTTAATAAGGATCAACTTTTTTTGCATATAGATATCCATTGTCCTAGAATCATTTGTTGAAATACCTACTGGTTTTCAATGAAGTTGTAAAAAATCAATATCTATGTACATATGAGTCTATTCCTGGACTCTTTTCTGTTCCATTGTTCTATATGTCATTCTTGATGTCAGTATCACAGTGTCTTAATTATTATAACTTTATAATAGGCCATGACATCAGGCACTGTTAGTTCTCCAACTTTGCTTTTAAGAATTGTTTTCAGTATTCTAGGTTATTTACATAGATATTAGAATAAGATTGTCAGTATTTGGAAAGAAATGGTGCTCGGTTTCTGATTGGAATTGCATTGAATCTATAGAACAATTTGAGGAAAAGTGTTGGTGTTTTGCAGTTTTCCATGTATAGGACTTGCAAATATTTTATCAGATCCATTCCTAAGTATCTCATATTTTCACGCTATTGTAAATAGTATTGTTTTTCTAATTTTTATTTCTGATTATTTGTTGCTAGTATATGGAAATATACTTGGTACTTTCATATTGATCTTATACTCTATAACCATCCTGAGCTCACTTATTCACTCTAATATCCTTTTTGTATTATAAATTCCATCAGGTTTTCTACATAAATGATCACATTGCATGTGAATAAACACAGTGTGTTTCTCGCCATACTGAGTGACTTAACTTTTGTGTGTGTGAGTCTACTGAGCAGAACTTCTAGTTCAGTTTGAATAGAAGTGGTAAGAGCAGTCATCTGCCTTCTTCCTGATTTTAGGAGTAGAGTGGTATCTTTCTCTCAAAAGACAGTTCTATAGGGTTTTGGTAGATACTCATTATTAGGTTGAGGAAGTTCACTCCTATTCCTAGCGTAAAGAGAATCTTTATCAGGAATTAATGTTGGACTTTGTCAAATGCTTTCTCTGTGTCATTTAAGATAATAGTATACTTTTTCTTTTTTTGAATTTTCATTATAAGTCTTCATCTTCATATGATGAATTACATTGACTTTCAAATGTTAAACCAACTCCTCACTGCTGGCATAAGTCCCATTTAGCCATAATATATTATCCTCTTCAGATGTTGCTGGATTTTATTTATTAAAATTTTGCTTAGAAACTTTACATTTAATTTAATAATAAATATAGGTTGTAGGTTTTTTATTATGTCTTTATCATGTTTTGGTGCAAAAGAATTGTTGACCAGAAGGAATGAATTGAGAAATTATCACTTACCTTCATTTTGGGGGAAAACTTTGCATAGAATTTGTATCATTCTTCCTTGAATGATCAATAGGATTAACCAGTGAAGTCATCTGAAACTGGATGTATCTTTTGGGAAATATTTTTAACTACCAAATGTATTTAATAGATGTACAGCTATTCATGTTACATATTTCTTCTTGAGTGAGCTTTGGTGGTTTACATCTTTTAAGCAATTCATCCATTTCTTCTGAGCTGTGAAATTATTGTCATAAAGTTGCTCATAATATTCTTTTATTATACTTTCAGTATCTGTAGAATCTGCACTGTTGTCACCTCTCTTGTTTCTGGTCTTTGTACTTTGTGTCTTTTTAATTCCCTATACAGTCTGGCTAGAGGTTTATCAGCTTTTCTGATCACCCCAAAGAACTGGTTCTTGTTTTATTGGTTTTTGCTTTTATTTTTCAGTTATTTATTTCATTGACTTCCACTCTGATCTTTTACTTTTGTTTACTCTGGATTTCATTTGATCTTTTTTTCCTAATTCATAAGATTGAATCCGAGATCATTGATTTGAGACCTTTCCTCTTTTCTATCATTAGTGTTATGATAAAGATCCTAATTGGGGCTTCCCTAGCAGTTCAGATGGTAAAGAATCTGCCTGCAATGTGGGATACTCGGGTTCGATCCCTGGATCAGGAAGAGCCCCTGGAGAAGGGAATGGCTACCCACTCCAGCATTCTTGCCTGGAGAATCCTGTGGACAGAGGAGCCTGGCAGACTATATATAGTCCATAAGGACTCAAAGAGTTGGACATAGCCGAAGCGACTGAGTGCACACGCACAACTTTCACTGTGCTGTGTTTAATTTCCATTCAGCTCAAAATACTTTCTAATTCCTCTTTTGATTTCTTATTTGACCTATGAGCTATTTAGAAATGCTTTATTTCATTTCCAAATACCGATTTTCTAGAGATTTTTCACAGTTATTAATTTCTAACTCAATTCTATATTGTAGTCAGAGAGCATACTTATATTGCTTGAATCCTTTTAAACTCATTGAGACATTTTTATGGTCTTGACTATGATCTAGGTAAATGATGCACATGCATTTGAAAGGGTATGTATTCTGCTGTTAGGTCAAGTTGATTGACTGTTTTGTTCAAACCTAAATCCTTACTGGTTCTTTGTGTACTTTTCTATTAATTTTGAAAGAGGAATACTGAAATCTTTTACTATAATTTTGAATTTATGTATCTCCCTTGTAGTTCCATCAGTTTTTGTTTCATGTATTTTGAAGTTCTGTTAGTCTCATAAAATTTTAGGATTGGATGTCTCCCTAATGAATCGGCTTATTTGTCATCACAGAGTTATCTTCTCTACCCATAGTCATAGCATTTTCTCTGAAATATTCTTTTATACTAATATATAGCCACTTTAGCTTTCTTTTGATTGATGCTTACATGGTACATCTTTTTCCAACCTTTTACTTTTAACCTATATGTCTTTATATTTAAAGTGTTTTTCTTGTGTAGATGGCATGCAGTTGTGTCCATTTTAATCCAACCTGACAATCTCTGCCTCTTAATTGACATGTTTAGATTGTTGACCTGCTGGGTTATTGTGACAATTAGGATACAGGCAAGGATGAGTGTCAGCTAACTCTTCTTCCAACCGCACCTCTTCAGCCACCTCTGTTGCACTTCTTTTAATCATTTATAACTGACTCCTCATCACGCCCCTCTTCATAACGCTTATTATAATTTATAATATAATATAAAAGAATGTAATTCTATGTAATCTATTACATTTGTGTAATTCCATGTTATCCACTTTCCTGACTAGTAACTACAAATCCCAGGATTAAAAGCACGAATGAATGAATTAACGAGTGAATGAGTGGTGTCTTGTGATGACTCTTCTTTAACCTTATAACCCTCTTAAGGTCAATGCACCCCACCCCAGGCTCTCACTCTCTGTGCTCCTCTTCTTCCTATCTGCCCTCAGGAGAGGAGCCCCAGTCCTAGAAAGGCTGGAGACAGGCATGAGACTGCAAGTCCAGTCCTTGGGCACCTGACCCACCTCCAGGGGGTCTCCCCCAACCCGCCTTCTCTGCTTTTGCCACGAATATAGACATGGGTCCTCTCCCTCCAAGGACTCTAAGGTGCGGTCCACACCACCAAAGCTGAGCAGCTCTGGGGTAGTCCCCATTGGTTCACTCCATCCTTTGAGTCTGTCCTCTGGCAGGGGCCCATTTGACCATTGTCTTCTCTCCTGGCCTTAACACACACACACACACACACACACACACACACACACACACACAGACCCAGCAATATGCAGGTTGAGGAGAAAGGCCCAGAGCTTAACTACCCAAGTCAGGTGCAGCTGGAAAGTAAATGGCTGAGCTTTGGAGTGATTTTGTTAGCTCAGTTGGTAAAGAATCCACCTGCAATGCAAGAGATCCCAGTTAGACACCTGTCTAACTGTGGCTGTACTAGAAGTTCCGCATAAGCTGACACCTCCAACATAGTGCCTGGATGCTCAGTCTCTTTCTCCTGGCCTAGCATGGGGCTAAGGTCTCCACTAGGGTTTTGGAATCGACATAGGAAGTGTTCGCATCAGCATCACACATGGCCCTGACCTGGGGAGGTTAGAACAGGAAGGTGCATCTCCCACACTGATTGGTCAATAGCCCCATAGACATCTGTTCCAGGATATGTTTGTCCTGGGCTCTGGGACTACAGGGCTGGCTTAACCACCACATCTACCCTTGGGGAGCTCAGTGTGGGAGCCGGTAGATGAGTCAAACAGAAGCCCAGAAAGGGGATGCGACTGCCCTGGGATCCACAGTCAGGTAGTGGGCTAGGTCGAAATAGAACCCAGTCATCTGATCAGGACTTACCACACAGGAGCCAGGACAAGTGTAAGGGTCAGGGGGTGTTTTCTGAAGAAAGATCACAACTCATAAGAACTTTGCATGGAGATGAAACCAAAAGGAGAGGGACTTGACCACTCCATCCCACCCCAGGTCAGAGCATCCCTGGCTGCTCCTACTCAATTCTGTCCTCCAGAAATGCCCTGCCTGCCCCAGTTAGGAAATTTTCATTTGAGAGTAACAATAAACCAGTTAAGTGAAAGTGTTAGTCGCTCATCCAGCTCTTTGCGATCCCATGGACTGTGACCTGCCAGGCTCCTCTGTCCATGGGTTTCTCCAGGCAAGAATACTGGAGTGGGTTGTCATTTCCTTCTCCAGAAAGGTAAAGGTGATATGCATATGTATCTCTATGTGAATCATTGTGTTGTTTACATCAGCAAACATCTGGTAAGATTTGATTTGATTTGAAAGTTGCTCAGTCCGACTTTCAACGAGTGTCTGACTCTTTGCGACCCCATGGACTGTATGGTCCATGGAATTCGCCAGGCCAGAATACTGGAGTGGGTAGCCTTTCCCTTCTCCAGGGCACCTTCCCAACCCAGGGATCGAACCCAGTTCTCTGGCATTGCAGGTGGATTCTTTACCAACTGAGCTATGAGGGAGAACCCAAAAAAGCCAGTTAAACAACTGTGGAAATTTGCTGAGTCAGGAAACTGAGACCCTCAAATGTTCGTCTGGCCAAGCTCCATTTCTCTGACATTTTCTCCTTCACTGTTGCCTTCACCCCTGGTCCCTCACACCCTCACACCCTGGAGCCAAAAGAAAAGTATGAGTGCCTCATGGGAGTCCCCCCCACCTTCAGGGGAGACCGGAACATCCTTCCCCCAGACCCACCCCCTCAACTCCTTGGCAAACACTTTACATCTCATTGGCGGGCGCTGGGTCTTGTGATCCGCCCCGAGCCAATCACGTACTGGCAGGATGGAGGGCTGATGGCTTACGCCAATCAGTTCCCACCTCTGGAGCTGAGTGTGGCCGTTTCACAGAGGACAAGGTGGTGGATGTGGTGGGAGGAGATGAGATAGAAGCTGGGGCAGCAGCAAAGAACTGTGACAGACCCCTGCCACCTGAGATGAGTAATTTCATCCAGTCAGTGAGGAGCCCGCCCTGCTGTGCCAGTCCATTCTTCCATGTCCTATCTTGTGTCCCAGGCTGCTGAGAAGCTTGGAATCCCCCGTACCCCACCACCCTGGTTCATGACTCCATCCATTTGCCTTGGCTGTGCCCCACCCCACCCCGTCCCAGCTGGAATTCTCTTCTTCCATGACATATTAGATTCCTGGCATAACCTTGAGCGGGCTTCCCAGGTGGCACTAGTGGTAAAGAACCCACCTGCCAATGCAGGAGACTTAAGAGATGCGGGTTTCACCCCTGAGTCAGAATGATCCTCTGAAGGAGGGCACCGCAACCCACTGCAGTATTATTGCCTGGAGAATCCCATGAACAGAGGAGCCTGGTGGGCTACAGTTCATAGGGTCACAAAGAGTCGGACACGAATGAAGCCACTTAGCACATAGCACATAACCTTGAGCAGCACATAATTGGGTCATGCGTATTGTGGCTTCCCCTGGCATCGTTTACCCACCACCATCATATCACTTGCAAGACTGTTATAGTTAGGTTGCCATGTCTGCCCTGCCCAAATATAGATACACACACACACACACACAGCTTGTGAGTTCCTTGAAAGTATGGACTGAGTCTTAATTAATTTCTCTATTTGCAGCCTCTAGCCCCTGCCTGGTTTAGAGAAGGGATTTGGTAAATATTTGTGGAGTGAATGAACAGAAGTTATTTATGTTGTATACCTCTTGCTGTGCAGGCATTTGCATTTTTACAAAGGACAAAACTGCAAGCCAAAGAAATGACGCTCCAGTGATGGAATTTCAGGCACCAGTGAGCTGGGCCTGGAAGCTTCTTCTATTGTTTAGTGCCTAAGGGAGGGAGAGGCTGTCACAGCAGGTGAAATCTTCCATTCATTGCTTTCCAGAGCAAAATTAGGAAAACAATCACATTGTTCTCTTGAAAAGTATGAATGTGTCATGGAAACAAATGTGTCTCCCTTTGGCTTTCTGGAAGAGGAAAACTTCTCTAGTCCTGTCAGGTTTCTCTGCAGTGGTTCCACTCAATAGAACACTGCTTCCTGACATCCCTGTGGCTTATGAAGGGCGATATTCAGGCTGACTGTAGGGTCATCTTGGCTGTTGACCTCACAGTCACTATCATTCCATCTCTGGCCACGTGGGAGGATCTGATGTTACCCAGGAGTTGAAGGAGCTGAATTCTGCAGCTCAGACACTTCCACGTGAAGCTCGCTGGCCTGGCTGCTTCTCCTGAGCTGACCTGGGCCTCATCCTCACCACTGGGCTCCTCCCTGGTCCTGCCTGGACCACCACCTGTTCATGCCCCAGCTCTGTGCACTGACGGTCTCTCTGCCCTCAGGCACCTCCTCTCCAGCCTGCCCTCCACTCTGCCCTGGAGTGATCCTCCACAGCATAAAATTGACCAGGTCCCTCCTGCTGGAAATCCTTCCCAGGCTCCGTGCCGTCCCCGAATCATGATCCAAACCCCTTGGCCCTTCACCAGCCACGCAGAGTAGCAGACATTAGCCAAGAACACACCGTGCAAGGAAAACCCTCCTCCCCGTTTTTGCAGTGTCTTTCCCTCTGCCTGGATGCCCTTCCCTCCCTGTCAGCCTGGCGAACTCTTACTCAGTCTTCAAGACCCAGCCATCAATACACCCTTCTCTGTGAAATTGATCCTCCGTAACCTGTGTCTCCCTCAATGAGCCCATCTCTGTCTCCACACGTGGCCCCTTGTTCTCTGTCCCCCAGTCTTCCCTCTACTGTACTGTGATCCTCTCCAGGGTCTGACTGTATTCTCAGCATCTGAAAGCAGATGTGTCAGTATGGGTTTGCGGAGGGCACGGATGAATGAATGAATAGACACTATCACTGCATGCAGACCCCTTCCTTGCTACTGTTATAACGGCAGTAGCAGTAACTCTCTTTCTCATCTCTGGAGTGTATCCTATGTGCCAAGCCCCATAGTTGGCCCCTTGCTGCATCCACTCTGGTAACTTCACAACACCCATGTGAGCTGGCATGATTACTAGGTCGATTTTACACATGGGGCACAGTGGGCTTACAGAGGACAAGGATCCAGTCACACTGCAAGAGAGTGAAGAGGCCAGGATTTGAACTTGGGGATGTCTGGCTCCAACTTCTTCATTTACTGAAGAAGTTACTCGCTTACTACATGCCAGGTGTGGTCCTGTTTGAGGACGCAGCAGGGAACGGAACAGTCTGCGTCCCTCCCCTCGTGGAGCTCCTGCTGTAGTTTGTAAGGTGGGGAGGGGACAAATGGTAAACAAATACATTTCTAAATAATGTCAGGGCTGATAAGTGCTCTGCAGAAAAATAAAGCAGAGTGGGGCAGAGAGGGATAGGCTGGGGAGGGTGACACTTTAGGGGACATCAGCAGAGACCTGAGTGACGTGGAGGGACAAGCCCTGGTCACAGCAGAGGGAAGCAGGTTCCTGGCCGTGCGTGCAGGTTCAGTCGCTTCAGTCATCCTGGCAAGAATACTGGAGTGGGTTGCCATGCCCTCCTCCAGGGGATCTTCCCGACCCAGGGACTGAACCAGCATCTCCTGCATCTCCTGCACTGCAGGTGGATTCTTTACCCACTGAGCCACTTGGGAAGCCCTGTTCCTGGCAGAGGGGACAGGCAAGGGCACAGGCCCTGAAGCCAGAGTGGACTTAGCTTGTATGAGCTACAGCAGGAGCTCAATGTGTCTGGAGCTTGGTGAGAAAGGGAGGAAGCAGGGGGACCAGGTCGCAGGGTGGTCTAGGGGAGTTGTTGGGCACATGATGAGCAGCATGTGGACTATGCCTGGAACTCCAGCTTTTCCTCTGAGTGTAAAGGGGGGCCCTGGAGGGCTGGGAGCTGAGGGAGTTTAAAGGTCACCTCTAGCCTCTCGGAGTACCATTGTCAAAGTGGGCAAGGCCAAGGGGAACCTGGAGACTGCTTGGGAGGACCTAGAAAGCCCAGTTTCGAGGACTGTTCACCTGCGAACTCCACCAACATTCTCCCTGGTCCTGCTGCTCACCTCCCAGCCTGCCCTACATCCCTGAGCCGATCCCGCAGGCAAACTCCGTCTACCCGTCCCCTGAATTGCTCAGCCCCGTGAGTCTCCGAGCCTCCCCTGCCCTCTCACTATAAGTCTTTTTTTTTCTTTACGTGGAGGATAATTGCTTTACAATATTGTGACGGTTTTTGCCATACATCAGCATGAACTGGCCATAGGCATACATGTGTCCCCTCCCTCTTTATTCCCCACCACCACATCCCTCTCCACTACACCCCTCTAGGTTGTCACAGAGCACCAACTTTGGGTTCCCTGTCTCATACATCAAACTCCCACTGTCACTGACCAATCTTGAGCTGAAACCTCTGGCCACAGGTCACAGAGGGCCTAAGGTTGCCCTGTCCCCTCTTCCCGGGTATCCTTCTCGGGCTGTTGACCTAAGAGTACTTTGTGGCTGGCCACTAGATGTACCCCACCATCAGCTCAGCCTTCCTCCAGCAGGTGGGAATGAACTAACCCCCAAAGCAGCCTATGAGGGGTGAAAAAAACCAGAAGGACCTGGGCTTGAATCCTGTCTTTGTCACTAACTTGCTGTGTGACATTAAGCAAGTGTCTAAACCTCTCTGGGCAGCAGTTTTCTTGACTGTAACAAGGTGATAACAAGCTCCAGGGGAATATCCTGAGGATGCAAGACCACATGTTAGGGCACCAGCAGCTCCTGGCCACAGCAAGCTTCAATCATTTGTTTCCATTTTCCCCACTTCCTTCCTTGACCACCCCTAAGGTCATCTGGGCTTCCCTGGTGGCTCAGATGGTAAAGAAGCTGCCTGCAACGCTGGAGACCTGGGTTTGATCCTTGGGTCAGGAAGATCCCCTAGAGAAGAGAGTGACAACCCACTCCAGTAATCTTAACTAGAAAACTTCATGGACAGAGGAGCCTGGTGAGCTACAGTCCATGGGGTCACAAAGAGTTGGACATGTCTGAACCACTAACACAAGGTCATCCAAGAAATCAAGGGTACAGATCTGTCACGATCTCTCAGGACAGTGTTCCGGCCACAACATACCTCCCTGTGCCTCAGTTTCCATCTCAGGAACTGGGGATAGTGTCCATCTCAGGTTGCTGGTGTGTGGACCAACTGAGTGGATCTGCGTGGACCACTTAGGATGATGCCTGTCTCCCCATGACCATCTGTGAGCTGTGGTTCTCCTGTAGCCCCACTCCTCATGTCCTCCCCTCCCCATCTTTCCTCAGTCCCTGAACATTCCAGAGAGGTTAAGGGCTCAAAGTGACTGACACTTTCCATCTCTCTAAGCATCAGGTTCAACACTCACATTTTGCCAGTGGGGAAGCTGAGGCCCAGGACAGGGAAGACCATGCCAAGGTCACAAAGAGGAACAGGAGGCACTGCTTGCAGATTTCTCTTTTGGGATCCTCCCCTCTTGGTGGAGGGCCAGAGGCCCCACAGGCAGTTGGTGCTGATTTAGGGTTATCAGAAAGAATGAAGGGACGGAGCCAAAGCAAAAACAACACCCAACTGTGGATGTGACTGGTGATGGAAGCAATGTCCAATGCTGTAAATAGCATTATTGCATAGGAACCTGGAATGTTAGGTCCATGAATCACGGCAAATTGCACGTAGTCAAACAGGAGATGCAAGAGTGAACATCAACCTTTTAGGAATCAGCGAACTAAAATGGACTGGAATGGGTGAATTTAACTCAGGT